GTTCCTTTCAAAAAAATGTTTTTACTGATTATTTTAAACATAACCAAATTATTTCAGATTTTTATTGCATTATAATGAAAACTAAAGGCTCTAATCATCTTTAAAGGGCAATTACTCCAATAACAAGTTGACTGAAAATTTCAGCTAATTGGCTTATTTGTGGATCTTGTCTTTCGAATAATTTTTGCAATTCAAAGTTTCTATATATCTATTATTATTTCCAAGATAATAGGCAAAAATCTTCATTATAGGGCAATAACTTCAATAAGGAGTCAACTGACGATTTCGGTAATGTTGACTTATTTGTAGATTTTGTCTTGTTGACCATTTCGGCTAAAATATGTTTCTTTTTTTTTCTTTTTTCTAAAATCTAATTTATTGCACTATTGCTGTTATAATGAATACCATGTCTACAGCATTTGACCACACACCCCTGTAGGGTTAGTTTTACTGAACAAACAAAAAATACGTTTCTATCTATCTAATGTAAGATATTAGGCAAAAAGTAAAAAAAAAAGGTAAAAATCATCATTAAAGGGGCATTAGCTGTCAAAATTTATGTTCACCGATTTAACTCAAATTCTCATATGTGATATACATGATATATAACATACTAAAAGGTATATAAGAAATTACAAAAAGTCTAAAACAAACAATTAACAATGCATGGGCTTGATAATATGTATCAATATTTCGTGTTTATTTTTGTCTAGAGGCCATCTACTTAACCATCGAGATGACCTCCGAGGGCTACGGACGAGAATATTACCGGATTTAAACATAAATATAAATATAAAAAAAATAGCATGCACGTGCAATTGGATTTTTCTAAGCCTGTTTGATTTCATATTGTACATGTAGGTTAAAAAGTACAAATGTATGTTTATCATCGTTTTTACTTGTATAAGAATATTTTTTGGTGGATAGAATCAGTCAACCAGATGGTTCATACTTGTTTCACTTTCAATGTTGACATTCTTTTTCTTTTAATAACTGATTGTGAATACATGTACATGAGTAACCCATGTCTAGCTAAGGGGTTAAATTGAAGGTCACTTGAATACAGATTCAATGAGGTTGAGTTAATTCATCAGCGATATCGATGTTTCTTAGCTTTTTTTTGACAAAATTGAACCAAATTGGCAGCTAAAGGCAAATTATTATTTCACTATTTCACTTTCATTAATGACTGAACAAAAACAAATCTTATATAATTTATTTTTATATCTCGTACATTTAGCTAATGCCCCTTTGATGGGCAATAAGAAGTCGACAGACTATTAGCCATGCTGACTTATTTGTAGAAATTGTCTTGCTGATCACTTTTTCTAATTAAAGTTTTTCTCTAAGGCCAAAAAAATATATATATATGCTTGTTTCCTGCCTCCTGACCGATCCTAAGTTTGATCCCCAATCCTAAAATATTTTATTTCCTTTCCAAAAAATTATTCAAGAATAAGTGTTGAGATTCTTCTTATTAGCACAGGACCGACAGGACATGCCCTGTAAAAATATATTCGGTCCTGTCGATTTTTGTTAATTTTGTAATACATTCCTAAATGGGGAATGTGTCCTGGCATGGGACACAGATGATGCCCCCGCTTGTATATCATATAAATTCACAAAGGGACATAACTGAAGAACAGTAAAAGTGACACCACCAAAATTCAAACTTGATCTGTATTTTGTGTTAATAAGCATTGTGTATAAATTTCATAACATGTGGTTGAGGCTAACTTAAATTAGAGAACGGAAACGAAAAATTCAACAATTTTTCCATTTGTAAAGGGGCATAACTCTAGAACGGTTAAAGTGACACCATCAAAATTCAAACTTGATCTGTATTTTGTGGTAATGAGCATTGTGTATAAGTTTCATAACATTTGGTTGAGGTAAACTAAAGTTAGAGAACAGAAAGGTAACATTCAGCAATTTTGCCATTTGTAAAGGGGAATAACTCAAGAACGGTTAAAGTGACGCCACCAAAATTCAAACTTGATCTGTATTTTGTAGTAATAAGTATTGTGTATAAGTTTCATAACATTTGGTTGAGGTAAACTAAAGTTAGAGAACAGAAACATAACATTCAGCAATTTTGCCATTTGTAAAGGGGCATAACTCTAGAACAGTTAAAGTGACGCCACCAAAATTCAAACTTGATCTGTGTTTTGTGGTAATAACCATTTTGTATAAGTTTCATAACATTTGGTTGAGGCAAACTAAAGTTAGAGAACGGAAACCAACTTTGGGACGTACGGACAGACAAGGGTAAAACTTTATGCCCCCTCCGCTACGGCAGGGGCATAAAAAGTCACTAACATCAACTTATCGGTAATGCGAATTTAAAAACATTTGCAATGGAAAATGAACATGTTATAGTTTCAAGCACCAGAAATCTACAGTGGGGCATAAAATTCTAGGCATACCAAGAATGTTTACTTTTCTACCATCAATAAATTCGAAGATGACAGTTATTCCTATAGTGTTTTGATATACAGCGGGCCAATACATTTTAGCTGCATCACAATGTTGCATAAAAATACACTGAGATGTAACTTAGCACCAGAAAGGGAAATGGGATCTCTAGCATTCAAAAAACTACATTTTCTCTTTCTACATGTAGCTAAAGAAGAGCACATGAACCCCCATTTTTTTCTTTTGCAATCGACTATGGACTACTTCAAGAATGTTATAAACGTGTTTGGTACACTTTCTTCTATGAGCATTTGCAATGGTGAGAAAATTGTCTATGGCTTTTTATTACCAAATATTTTAAAATTTTCACAAATTTTTTATCAAATACAGCATTCATTTTAGGGATTTACTTATAAAAGGCCTATAAATTAAAGAGACACCTTGCAAAAAACAGGGTGAAAATATTTCTTTCCGTTTGAAAGTTACATGTACATGTATATATATTACTTTTTCAGAAAATTATTAAAATCAAATTTTGTGTTTTTACATGAAACGTTCAAATTTCACACTGAACATGCTGAAATATCTAGAAAAGTACATGTTGTAAGTCATGAAGGTATATTTTTCTTTGCATATTTTGATACTGTTCATGTATATCAAAATTGACTTTGTGTCAAAATTTTAAGGAAAAATTAAGGATACATGTAGATCTTTTATCATATGCTCTTAAGACAAATTTTTTCAGCATTATACATGTACATGTATTATTAACTTCAATTATAAATTGTTTTTTAAAAGACTTATAAAACACCCCAAAATATTAGTTATTGAGAAAATATTATCTGACTGTTTTTCCTGTAAGATTTTTATCTAGTCCTTTGACATACATGTACATGTATGACCTTGAGGGCCAAATTGTCTTTTTCTGTATCTTTTCTGATAATTTCATTTAACTTACTTCTTGGGGCAATGGGGGTTATATTTCATTTACTATTTACACTGTTTTTACTATCAATGTGCCACCCGAGGTCATATGGGCAGTCTGCACCAAAATCTTTTCTGAGTGACTACTAGCCTGTAGACCAATATTCCAACATTTTTCTTCCAACATTTTTCTTGTGTGTCTATTAAAACAAAGTTTTGCAAAAACGTACTAGTCCAAATAAAATTTTACTAGTCTGGGGCATCAGACTTGTGGCTAATGGTTTAGAATGTATGGGACTTATAAAAACTCAAGTAGCAAAATAAAATTTTTAAATTAGCAAGTGTTTTGCTTTTAAACCTAACAAAATGATCAAGAGCATGTTTTAAATTTTTACTGGACAATTAATTTCAGCACGTTATGAAAAAGAAATAGTGAAAGTGAAATGTCTACCATGTCTACCATGTCGTTATCATGGTTATGAAGGATAATATTTTATTTTCAAATCTCAAAAAAACAACAAAATACTCAAGGGCAAAAATTATTATTGTTACATGTAGAATGTAGATATCTTATAACTAAAAACTGCATTTAAAATTTTTTTGAAACCTGCTTCCTTACATTAATGTCCATAATTTTGTTTATCATATATATGTAATATGGGTTTAAATATTCCTGTAACAATTTAAAACATGATGGGATGATGTCAAACTCTCCAACCCATGGATAACATTTTTAATTTTGGTGTTTAATACATGTACAATCTATATTAGTAAATCTTTTTTTATTTTAATGTTTAACAGTGTTTAAGCGTAATTTATGAAACATTTTTTTGGTCTGTGAAATTTGAAAAAAAATAAAGGTGATTGAAGCTATTTTGTTCAGAAACTCAGGTCGAAAATGTTTGAGAAATTTGAAGTACAAAAAATGTATTCATATACATGTATGACATGTATGAATTTGCATTCCAAAAAAAAAAAAATAATAAAATATCAGCATTATATTCAGTATTCATATTTTACTATAATCTCATAAAGGCATGGAGGATATTCTTAGAAAATGATTAAAGCTATGGTGCTTTATATTCAAACAAATTATTTTTTACCAGATTAAAAAAAAAATATGAAGTTGCATTAAAATGCATCATACCTGCCAACTTTTCAATACGGCCATGGGGGATTTTAAGCACAAGAGGACTAAGTGCATGTTTTATACATGTCTAAAGTATAGGTATTAAGATATTCTATGATTTTTAAGAGTATAAATGTATTTACATGCCATTTAACTCATTTGAATAACTGTTTTTAGGCTTCAAGTTTATATAATAGAGGATTTGAATAATCAGGCCAACCTCTCCCATGGGGGATATCCCCCATAAATCAGGATAGTTGGCAGGTCTGTTGCATGCATTTTCAAACACCTGGCCAGGTAAAATTAAAAAGAACTGTGACTTTCTGTCCTATCTACGACACTATAATTTCTCCTAAAATATTAACAGGTCAACTCATTTTTGGTTTTACCATTGTCAAAAGTGGTCAAATGAATGTAACAGTTTTTAACTGTTTAAAGGACTACTGGACCAGGTTGACCTATTTCTCAGCTGTTTAGCGTAAATAACAAGAAATATGTCATAGCAAAGTTATAAATCAGTGTAGTGCGTTACCTTCTTTTTGTTGTACCACTCATAATTATAAAAATATTCCAAATAAATAGTGAATTCCAAAGATATTAATCTGTTGTTCTTTCAGACAACTTTGTCACAAAATGAAAACAGGATGCTCTATTTCACACACATGGGAGATAACCGCAAAGTACATTTACGCGTTAAAAATTCCCTTTCTGTTTATTTTAAAACTTGGCAAGTATAATTTAGTATGTGCATAACCACTCACTTAGTATGTAATAATTGATTTACCACAGTTTATTTCCTGTATATTTTTATGCATAAATAAATGACGAATCTGTATTGCAATAGTTTATTTATATTGAATTTTTAAGAAAGAAAACCAATCGTGAACCTCATCTCCTTATTTTTATATAGTATTCCTTAAGAACTTAATAAGTTCTCGTTTAACTTTTTTTTTTTATCTCATTGTTTGTATTGTATTATGAAAAATTATTGATGTTGTAATGTTTATGCCCTTTGGGGCCCATAATTGGAAATAAAATATCTTATCTTATAGTCAGGCTATTTATAGACATAGAAGATCCAGAGACATATAATACCTGGGCCGTAACTAGGCATATTATTTTAGTGAGGCAGAATTATTCAGGGTATGGGATAAATGGTGCAAAATCCTGCATTCTGGGCATTTCCAGAGAGCTTGACATCGTTTTAATTTTGGATACTTGTTATATATTTTTCATATTTTAAGACATGTACTAACACCAAATTTTTAACAACTTTATTTAAATTTATATGTCAGATAAACATCCAAATATCAATTTGAGTCTGCCGCCAGAACATAGAACAAACATCGAATCAGTAGAAATTGCTATTTAAATTGGAGTTTGGCCGGTTTCGTCAAATCGTTTCAGAATATTTGGTCTGCTGACATCCTTATCGCGATGAACATGGAGCATGGCAAGTCCGCACAGTCTCTCGCCAATCATGCATGCTCTTTCCCAAGTTTTCAGTCGTCTCAGGGCAGAAAAAGAACGTTCACAGCAGACGCTCGTCACTGGTAGAGTTAATAAAAGCACAAGAACACGTCTTACGTTTGGGTAAAAATCCTGATGTGCGTATACTAGAGCTTGCTGAAGGGAATTGGGAACAGATTCCTTATCTGTGAACTTTGTTTTCCATCTTAACATCTCCTGCTGCCAGTTTTCAATGTCTGGTAAATCCTGGTTGTACGCTTCTTTTATTTCATCTATGCATTCGTCTGTCAGGTAGTTAAATTTTCCAGGTAAAAGGTATTGACCAGGAGTCAAGAGTGATCAAACTAGGGATAGAATGAGATAAGATACATGTATATGATTCTATCTAGAGTTCGTTTACTTGTGTGATATGGATGCGGGGGAATTGGAATGGAGTTTTTGCCGTTTACATATAGGTCCGTGATTTCAGATTATTTCTGGAAATAGTCAGTGGTAAGATGTTTTAGATCCAGAATCGAAAAATGAGGGGGTGGGGGTCCGATTCCGAAATCCCGAATAAAAAGACACGAAATTCCGTAGTCCCGAATTAGAAAACACAAAATCCCGTTTTAAAGGTCCTACCGTCCCTCAATAATGTCAAACTGGATTATGGGATGTTCTTTCGAATTTTAAGGTTAAAGAAACATGGATAAAAACTAATCCATGCAGGTTTCATATTATTTATATTTTGTTTATCTGTAAAGAGAACGAATGAAGTTGGGGAAAACGGGGAAATGAATACACAGACAGGACTGCTCCCGTTCGGTGCCCCAGTACTTGATTTGTCAGTCTATTTATAGTTTTTGGATTAGTTCCAATGAAGTTATATTCAATACTCGAACTCTTAACCCCTGTTGTGATCACAAACAACATCAGTTAGTTTACTAGAATTATTCCTTCCTCACCTTCAGTATCGCTTTTCCTTTTTCTGCAAGAGCCTTATTTTAACCAGAGATCCATGATGATTACCGTTACTAGGTTAATGTAATCGAGAAACATCACCCGTTGAGATGCTGAGTTATATCCGGAAAGAATAATTTAAAAGGAACGATGACAAGTTATAAAAAATTAAGGTTGAGACAGAAAAAACAAATGACTATATTTCGTATTTAATTACCATAAACAAATACAAAAGAAAAAAAAAATTCAGTGTCCAAATTTTAGTGAGGCAATTGCCTCACTTGCCTCAATGGTAGTTACGGCCTTGAATACAATGTCTCTGGTAGATCATAGTAGACCCCTTGATAGTACATTTTTTTCTTTTTATTAACGGTAAGGTATCGACTATTCATCTTGTTAAGGACATGGCTTTTTTCAAAACAAAACATTTTGTTTTCGAATATAATTGTTACTACAGTAACAATTTTTTTTTACTTCTGGTTCTAAAAAACTTGTTTTCAAGATACATGAGACTACAGTACTATAACACATGTTATAGAAGTCTCAAAAGATATTTAGAATGAAGCATTTTTCTAAGAAACTCAACAACGCGCAACTTTCTAATATTATTCACGCGATTGGATTTTGCAAACCTGGCCCGATATACTCCGCATTGTTCTGCTTATTTACTGTTTACAATGACATTAGACTACTAAACACAGTGCTGTAGTAGTCTCAGCAATGACCGAATGGTCCATAAGATTTACTAAATAAATGAATTTAGAAGCATATTCTAAAATAATAATTGATAAGTATGGCGCAAGATAAACGGAATCCAGGGACTAAATATGCTTCTCCTATTCTGATTTACTCCTTTTCTGTTATGAAACATTTGTATGTCAAAATTTCATGATACAGAAACACCCTACGAAACACATGTGAATCTATTGGATATCAAAATAAACAATACTTGCAGATATTTATTATATTAGGTCCCAATTTATACGATGTTGTTTTCTAGACATTGATATCATAATTTCTTATAAATAATTTTCATAAAAAAATATGGACAAATGGGACAACTTTTCCTTTTATGTTATTAATTTTCCCTTTTTCTTTCCTTAAATGGTAATGTTCAGTTTGTTTCCTTCTTATGGAGTGTACATTTTCAGTTGGTTCGACATGCGCGTATATTTGCAGTGTCATCTCGGGTTATATCCATACTGTTAATTTAAAGTAAGACTAAAAAGATTCTTTTGTTTTTCAGCTTTTAACTTCTTTGTTCTGAACATTGCACACGATCTTGTCATCCTGTATCGTATATGACGTTGCTGTTAAAAATAAGGACAGTTATCAATATTCGTGTGAAGGATGACATGCTTTCATATCAGAAGGTTAAGTGCTGTTATGCTTGCTTTCAGTAACTGCAAGCATTCATACTGTGTAATAGTGGTTATGATTATTATTTCATACTTGAACTTGTGTTTTTGTAACATATATATATACATGCATATATAATAAAAGCCTTTATGCTAAAGTTATTGACACTGACGAAGGCTATTTGTTCAGCCGAAATATTTGTCAACACGATTGTATAACATCATCTTCGTATGTATATTACCATCTTATATTAGTACTGTTGCGCAAATCTTATATATATATATATATAAAGTGGAAAGAAAATAAACCTAACAATGTTAGAGTAGATCTGATTCTTTATACTTCCTCCCCAACCGGGGCTTGAACCTGTACTTATCATATACTTATAGAAAATAATGGTATGCTTGTACTCCTTGATAAAACTGTAAATTGTACATATATTTATTCATGAAATGTGAATAATTGTCTTAGCAGTGTGATATGACTTTCGTTATCAACTGCTTCCGGTTATTATCGCATGCCTTTGTCACAAATTGAAACTGGGTGTATCTTGTGACTGGGTTATGTGTTGGCCTGCAACCACACACACTCTGACTATGGGACTAACTAATTGAACAAATGACGACTCTGGTTTCCCCATATATGATTTAATAGTTCAGCATGGAATACATTTGTGCAGAGTTGGAACTGCTCAGTATATTACTCAATCCAATCTGTCATATCGATATAATAAAACAGTTTTTATAACAAACCAAAAATTACTTGAATAGACTTGACAAATATTTCTCTAAATGAGTGACAAATACAATTAACGGACTATAGAACCGTCTTGACCAATGAAAATTAGAAAAAAGGTACTTTTTAAACAAATAGTTTCCAAACGATGAAATATATCAAAAGCAGATTAAATTAAGTGTAAATTGACATTATTCACTCTATATATAGTTTGTATGTTGACACTTAGTAAATTAAATTGATGACCATTGTTGTCAAAAAGTATTCTCAAGACATAATCTTAATCTTAATCCATAAATTGTTCCTAGTAACGCTAACACGACTTATAGATGTCTCTTATAAAATTATTTGAAAAAAAATTAAGGTTCAAAATCATGTTTCCCGAACAAAATGCACTTCTTGCTTAATGAGAATATTGAAACCTAATTATTAATGAGAAAAAATGACTTTTAATATCAAACACAACATAAAAAGTAGCAAATGCTAAAATTCACAATTTCACGCATTTTTACAACATGACACCTTTCTGTAACGTTATCACACATGGCATTTCGACGTCACTCGACAAATTCTTGAAAATACACCTCAACGGTACGTTTTTAGCAAAAACATAATTAAATAGAATAAATTGGATAAATAAAAAACAAATATTAGGAAACAGGAAAATATATAATGAAAAATGCAAAACAATTAATACAACAAATGCATTTTTCAAAGTTTTGAAAATAATTCTTGTCTGTATGTCTTCTGCTGAAGCATATGATGAAAAGATCATAACATGTCATTTTTCATATCAGCCTTTCGGCTCTTGGGCTGATGACATGACCTAGGGTCGATAAAGGGTCTGATATGAAAAATACCATGTAATAATCTATACATATATATATATATAAAACGTCTAGATTTATTAGTCAACGAATTTCTTACGAGGGCACTGGATCGTTATGAAAAAAAGTTGCTGTACACAATAGAAAAATAATATATACGCCTAAAGAAGTGTACAAAACAAACCCAATATATTGCTGTTCGTTTGAGATGTATAAATACGCAGCCGCTGTTGTAATCACTTAACCTTCGGCAACTTTGAAATTTTAGAATTATACCAGTTCAAATTGAACAGTGCTATTAATTGAGGATGTATGTCTAAGCAGTCTCTGTTGTAATAACTTAACT